GGGAGCAGGGTGGATGCACAAAAGCACTGTGAAGTGGTTTTATTAAAACTGCCAGGAAAATTCTGCAGACTCATCTGAAATATAAATGCAAAACAAAAAGCAAAGCTCAATATCAAGATGTGGGCCTAGGCATGAATGTAGAGAGAGCTTACACATTAGTACAAACCAGGACACGGATGAGCATGTGGTAATCGCACCATGGTATAACAGTGTACCACGCAGAACTGAAGCCGGTCTCGGTCCACGCGTGCAGGCAGCACTCCTGGACCTGTCGCCAGGAGGACCACAGGCTCGGCCCACAACCACAAACTTGCAACCACAAGAGACATACTTACCCTGCATGATCAGGAAGGACTAAAAGGACAAAAATGCACAACCAGAATTTTCCAACAACCTTAAAAGTACTCACAAGATGATTATTTTGAACACTATGCCTAAGAGCCAGAAGGCTACGCCTAAAATAACTGAGACAATATTTCAGGTCCTGGTTTGAAGGAGAGGCCTCCCTCACTTGAAGACAGGAGAATCCAGCATTATCCACAAAGTCAGGAAATACATGCAACCACAACGTATTTTAATTTGCCTCAGCTACTTAATGAGCAAGGAGAAATGAGGACATACTTTACATCTTCCAGCTTTTTGGTGATGACCGATCCAACAGATGAGAAAGCAGCTGATGCCTTCTGTCCAGCTTGAGATAAGGTTTCAGAGGTCTTTTTGTATCTATATTAAATTATAAAAGAACAGAGTAAAGAAAAGGTAAGCTAACCTTTTCTAATAGCAATAATTTAAAGAACGATCACCACCTCTTGGAGAGCTCTCAAAAACTTTTAAAAAAAAATTGTTTTCAGAACATCCCAAATCCTTCATAACCACCAGGACAACATCATCACATCGTTTTATCGTTAACCATCATGCAGGCTCAATCTTCGGCAGTGCCCTAGGACAGCCAAACAGATGCCTATAAAGGCGGGGCCAAGGAAATCGGGGTAAGGGGTAAAAATAGTCATAGAGAAAAGCTGAAAATGAGCCAGAGGCTGAAATTATACCTCTTATTCTTTTCCACTAAAGCCAAACAAAAATGAAATCAAATTCCTCACATGCCTTTTATATCTTTATTCCCTAAAAAGGGACCAGAAGCAAGGTAAGGTCCCTGCGTACTTTTTATCCAAGTAAGTTATATGGCCGTAAAGAATTTTTTTTAATTTTGCATATCTGCAGAGCTACCACACAAGGATTGTGGACTCTTGACGGAATACTGAAAATGACTCAAGTATGATATTTGCTATAGCATAAAGCTATCATTTACCACCTTCCTCTTCCCATCTACCCAGGGATTAATGAAGGACAAACAAAACCAAACGAATATGGTAGCTACAAAGACGTTAAGATCCTCATGTTATTGACAGGGATGCTCAGGCATTTTTACTTATCCCATCAAGAAAAAATACTAAAAATAAAAAGTTTATGGTGATTCACAAAGAATCTTATATGGACTTATATGGGTCGGAAGTGGACCAAAGGGGGTAGACACCCTAGTGTGTACCTAGTGTCCTAGTGTCCTAGTGTTGTCATGTCAAGATGCAGTCAGCCACACTGCTGCTGGTAACCAGCTCAGTGCATGGATGAACACAGACTTCAGGTGCACCTGGGTGGCTCAGTCAGTTAAGCGTCCAACTCTTGATCTCCACTCAGGTCACGATCTCCTGGTTTATGAGTTCGAGCCCCGCATCGGGCTCTGTGCTGATAACATGAAGCCTTCTTGAGACTTTCTCCCTCCTTCTCTTTCTGCCCCCGCACTCATGCACATGTGCTCTCTCTCAAAAATAACTAAGTAAACTTATAAAAAAAATTTTATAGAACATACTTCAGAATCTGTTACCAGAAGCTTGCTCCTCCTTATGCTAGGAAACAAAACTGCATCATGATTAAGGCCGTATCAAAATGTATGTGATCAAAAAGACAAGAAGATTAAGGGGTGGGCCTCTGCCACCAGCACATATCAGAGACGATGAGCCAAGAGTCTTATGAGGAAGTAAAAAGAAGACTGGCTCTGTACTTGGTCAAATCTGAGTTCAAATGCTGCCCCTACATTTTGAGTTTTGTGACCTCAAAACTTATCTGATCCGTTTCCTTCTCTCGGGCTATCTCACCACCCACCCTATTTGGTTATTCTGAGGACTAAGTGACATAGGTGCATTTCTGGCAAGTCAATATATAACATTTTTGGAACGTAAATGTTAGTTCTTCAACTCACACACGAGGCTGGTTTTCTTTCTATCCCCTAGAACAGTCTGAAAGACCAAAGTTAGAGAAGAGTCAGGTATACTTGAGAACTGGGCGGGGGGAAGTGCCCTGTGTAGTATAAAGAAGAGTCGCAGAAGCATCCCTCAGCCCCTTTCAGTTCCCCTACCCAGACAAAAGGAGCAAAAGTGTCCTTTACATTCTCTAGAAAAATGTATGATCAAGGGGACATACGCAGATGTTGCTGTCACATCCTGCCAGCCTTTGGCAATGTTCTGTTTTAGTTCCTGTAGTGAATTGATCCCAAGTTTCCGTTTGATCTCTGCTAGATGCTTCTCTTTTGCTGCTAACACTTGAGACAGAGTCTGGATTTCTTCTTCTACCTATGAGGAAGGGAGATGGGGTAAAAATATAGCAAAGTTAATATTATTAGTGCAAAACTATACTAAAAATTCTGGAGAAATTTAAAAACTTTTTTGATTCACCGATCTCTTTAAAAACCACATACAGCATGTTGTTAATAAGTAAACTGGTTACGTGCCGATCTCTCCTGTAGAGCGTCTCTTCTCTTCCTTATATTTCTATCTTGAATTGTCCTCAGCCTTCTTCTCTGTCTGTAAGTCTTTACTCAGCTATGTCATGGAAGCTTAGGGCTCGAACCTCCACACAGAAGATATTCAAATTATTCTAACATCCACTCTTCTGACCTCTGGTCTGCATTTCTGGCTTGCCAGTTCTGGTAGAAAGCCCCCAAAACTCCTATTTGTGTACCAAATGAAACCTATCTCTACTCTCCACCAAAACGTGCATAGCCAAGCCAAACCGAAAGCCAACCTTCCCATATATATCATGTGAGTTTATCTGGAAATGTCTGTCCCAGGGCCTGCCAAAGCCACAGACATAAACAAATCAAACTATCTCCCCCGGAGAGCCCCACAGAAGTCCTGTGTGGACCCCCTGACACTGACTGACCAGCCTTAACTGGGCAGTTAGAGGTGGGCCCTTAACCCAAGGACAGCCAACCCATCAAGTGGCCACCAATCAGTGAGTGATGTGCCTGATGTAAAAAGAGATACTCTAGTCTCTCTCATTCAGAAATCCAGCTTGAGAAACTGAGATAACATTGGGAGAAGAAGCTGGGAAGACTTAGATAAAGAAGCCCTGAAGTACAGGTAGGGCACAGTGAGATTATGAGAAATGGAAGCCTAAATATACTTGATGAGTCCAAAAACTATGCAGAAGCTAAGAAGGACAGTAAAAGACTTACAGAGTAGGCCAACAAGCTGAGCCAGAAAAACAGAGGGAAAGAGGCAGACCCACAGAAAGAAACAGACCTCATGTGGGAGAGCCCTTTTGTCCCAGGAAGCTGAAAAAGTGAGACAGTCATTAATATTCAACCCCTTAGAAAGATGCTTCTCTTGGCTTGTTGCAAAACCATATTCTCAGCCTTGACCTCACACTTCTATGATTTCAAAGACAGCATGGACTTTAAAAAACAACATGTAGGGGCGCCTGGGTGGCTCAGTCGGTTAAGCGGCCGACTTCGGCTCAGGTCATGATCTCACGGTCCGTGAGTTCGAGCCCCGCGTCGGGCTCTGTGCTGACGGCTCAGAGCCTGGAGCCTGTTTCAGATTCTGTGTCTCCCTCTCTCTGACCCTCCCCCATTCATGCTCTGTCTCTCTCTGTCTCAAAAATAAATACACATTAAAAAAATTAAAAAAAAAAAACAAACAAACAACATGTAGTGCTATTAAACTGTTTTCACTGCTGATTAAATCTTTAAAGAACACAAAGTGAAGAAAAACAGTACTCGACAAAAGGAAAGAAGGATAAATCAAATGTGATGTGGCTACCAAAACAAACAAAACATAGTTCTGAAGATGGCATTATTAGAAGATAGGTCCAGAACAAAGATAATCCTCTGTGCTTCTCATTCTGCACCAGTTTTAGAAGTCATTTGTAATTGGAATATGGAAAGAAAAAGGCAACAATGAATGAACGAGGTTCAAAATCAAGTAAATTAAATAATTTGCCCTAGGTCATCACACTAATAATGTAGGAACCAGAATTTCAACCCAGGTTTTCAGATTCTACTTCTCAGTTTACTGGTTAATTCTCATTGCACACTATTAGCTTTCCAATACCTCCTTCTCTATCCCAGCTCCGAATTTTCAGATGCTCCAAAGAACTGACTTAAAGGATACATACTCTACCCCGACACTTGTCTGAAGTTTTCACTTTCCCTAATGACAGCTGGCAAGAAAGACCACTATAAATCTTACTGAACAATACATGACCCGGTGTATTCCCTACCTTTGTCGGTTAGATTGTGCTACCAACATACCTGGCTCAGCACATCACGGCTACAATTCCTTAATTCAACATATATATTATGTATTACATACTATGTATATAAAATACACATATTTCAAAATGGAAAAATACATATATATAAAAGAATGACCCTTAAAGCACAAAGAATATATCTGATAAGGATCTAGTATCCATAACACAGAACACACAACTCAATAATAAGGACAAATAATCTAATTAAAAATGGACAAAGGCTTTAAATAGACATTTCACCAAAGAAAATATACAAATGACCAATAATCATATGAGAAAATGCTCAATACCATTCATTAGTGAGAAATTCAAATGAGATCCTACTTCACCTCCACTAGGATGACTATAATAAAAAAGATAACAAGTGTTGGTTGGCAAGGATGTAGACAAATTGGAGCCCTCATATATTACTAAGGGGAAGATAATGGTGCAGTTTGGCAGTAAAACACTCTGGTGGTTCCTCAAAAAGCTGAACAGAAGAGTTATCATGGGACCCAGGAATCCCACTCCTAGGTATATAGAAGGAAAATTGAAAGCATACAACTGCACAAAACACCTGTACACAAGTATTCACAGTGGCATTATTCTTAACAGCCAAAAAGTGAAAACAACCTAAATCTCCAACAACTGAAGAGTGGATAACCAAAACATGGCAGATAGCTATAAAATGGAATATTATTTAGCCAGGGAAAGGAATGGCGTACTAATATGTCTTACAACGTGGATAAACCTTGAAAAAATACTACGTGAGGGAAGCCAGTCCCAAAAGACCACACATTGTCTGACCCCACTTGTATGCAATGCCTAGAATGGGGCAAATCTATAAAAATAGAAAGTAGACCAGTGGTTGCCCAGGGTTGGAGACAAAGGGTAGGCTGGGAGTGACTGCCAATAGAGCAGGGTGTCTTTTTTGGGTGATGAAATGTTTTGAATTAAATAGTGGTGATAACTGTACAACCTTGTGAATACACATAAACCAAAGAGGTAGAATTTGATGGCACGCAAATTACATCTCTAAAATGAACCCAAAAAATAAGAGACGGGATTTTTTTTATCCCTATTTTATTTAAACGTCTGCAACTATCTCAGGCAGTGACTCTGATGTAAAACCTTTCCAAACTGAAAACTATCATTTGTTGGGGCACCTGGGTGGCTCAGTCAGTTAAGCATCTGACTTCAGCTCAGGTCATGATCTTGTGGTCCGTGAGTTTGAGCCCTGTGTTGGGCTCTGTGCTGACAGCTCAGAGCCCGATGCAGGGCTCGAACTCATTAACCACAAGATCATGACCTGAGCCGAAGTCGGATGCTTAACCAACTGAACCACCCAGTCGCTCCAGATTCCACCAAAATTTAAACCTTATGAGCATCAAGACACTGTGAGGAAAGTGAAAAAACATACAGGAGAAAATATATCTGATAAGGGTCTAATATCCAGAATATATAAAGAGCTCAACATCTCAACAACAAAACAGACAATTAAAAGAAAAACTGGGCAAAGAATTTGAATAGATATTTCTCCAAAGAAGGTGTACAAGTGGCTAATAAGCTCATGAATGCTCAGTATCATTAGTCATGAGGGAAATACAAATCAAAAGCACAATGAGATACCACTTTACACTCAGTCAGAAAGACAGAAAATAACAAATATTGGCAAAGATGTAGAGAAATAGCTGATTGGAATGTAAAATGGTGCCCCTGCTGTGAGTAGTTCGGCAGTTCCCCAAAAAAGTTAAACGTGGAATTATCATCTGATGCAGCAATCCCACTTCTAGATATACATCCAAAGGAACTAAAAACAGGTATTCAAACAAGTACTTTTATACAAATGTTCCCAGCTCAGTGCCTACAATTATAAAAATGTGGAAACCACACAAACGTCCATCAACACACAAAGAGAGAAACAAAATATGGAAGACACATAAAATGGAATATTATTCAACCATAAAAAATAGTAAAGTACCAATACGTGCTACAACAAGAATGAACCTCAAAAAACATTATGCTAAGTGAACCTAAAAAACATACACAAAGTAACATATTATATGATTCCATTTAAATAAAATATCCAGAATCAGTAAATCCATACAGACAAGACATAAAGCTGACTATTGTTGCCAGGGGATGAGGGAGGAGAGATTGAGGACGCCAGTTTAATGAGTATGCGTCTCCCCTGGGAGTGATAAAATTGTTCTGGAACTACACAGAGGTGATAGCTGTACAACAATGTGAATGTACTAAATGCCACTGAATTGTACACTTTCAAGTGGTTAATTTTAAGCAAAAGAGAGAGAAAGGGAGGGAAGGAAAGAGGGCTCAAAGTGCCTATATCCACAACACAGCAAAGGAGACACCAGAGTCACTGATGGAGGGGCAAAGCCAAGGGTATCAGACTTAGTGCAGCCCCTGAGACGGTATCCACTATTCCTCCTCTCATCCATTTCCTCCATCACACTCTACTTTTCAGACCCCCTTCACCCATTATATACCCTTTTTCCTATAAAAACAAACTGGTATCATGCTCTTGTATTTCTTCTCCCCCACTCAAGACCTCTAGGAAAAGTAAATGCATGTTGCTTTCTCTCCCCTGGAACCAATGACGCGTTGTTACCTTGTGCTTTAGAAACACAAATGACACTGTAAGGGCAAAACAGGAAGTTCCGAAAGGAATGCTTCTTTACCTTTGCAAGTTCTCTTCTTAGTTCTTGTTGCTCCTCCTCTGATAGGGTCTCTGTGGCACTGATCGTGGCTGCAACATCTTCTCCTTCCTCGGGTACTGGGTCTGTTCTCAGCAGACCTTGTTGGGGATTTAAAAAAAGAGTCTGTAAGGTATGAAGGCTGTGTAAAATTCTCCCTTAGGCTTCTTTACTGCCCCAATGAGAATAAAACCAATTAGACCGGATCCACACATCAACTTTCTATACCTTCAAATGACTTGGCTCTCCCTCTACAGGACAAAAGAAAGTCTGAGCTACCACTAAAAACCGCCAAATTGCACTCTGCCAAAATACGAATTTAAAAAATACAGCATTCGCTCAGATTCTGTTCGTTTCCACAATATAGTTACTGCAAAGGAGAAGAGTTAAGAGGCCAAGAATGGGATCTTGCCAAGGCTTCAAATGTTAAACTAGTAAATCAGACTAATTTACACTAACAAGGAAAGAGGTTTGTAAATGTCTCTAATTTCCTCTGCTAATCAAATCCAGCAACTTAACCTCAGTCATGAACTGAACAAACTCAATGCCTACAAAAATTTTATTCCAGAAAAAATAAAATAATTTATTACATTTCTTTCCATTGTTAGTGGAGGTAGGAAACACCTTCCTGTAGCTTTTAAAAATATATATATATCATCCAGATAACCTTTAAAAAGTCCTAACGTATGCAGAAATGACCAACACTCACATAAAAGCTTTCCAAGTTATTTAAGACCAACACGGCCACACTCACTCCTCTGGAAGAGGGCCGACCACAGTGGTCCCTTCAGGAAGAATCTGGTATTTCTCAAGTGGCCAAGAAGGCATCTTACCCTCAGCAACCCTTCCGTCTCTCTGCCAACCAACCATGCCCAACGCTAGGGTTAGGTCAGCAAGGCCCCCAAACCTTGGGCGCAAAATTTAAGGTGGCACCAAAAAACTCAATATAAATAATTTTAATATTTTCATGCAATAGTTTTCAAATATCAAAGTTAATTCAAAGAATCTATGATGCACAAAATATCAAAATTTTAAGTAGGCTCAGTATTACTGATTTTTCTTTCCACCTCAAGGCTCCAAAATGGCTTTGCACAGCACTGTTTCTCATCTTGTTTTTTTTTTTTAACATTTTTTTAAAAGTTTATTTATTTATTTTGAGGGGGGAGGGGCAGAGAGAAAGGGAGACAGAATCCCAAGCAGGCTCCACTGTTTGCACAGAGCCCAGCGTGGGGCTCTAATCGATGAGCCGTGAGATCGTGACCTGAGCAGAAATCAAAAGTCAGACACTTAACTGACTGAGCCACGTCTGATCTTGTCTTCATTTAACTTTTTTTTAAGTTTGTTATTTATTTTGGGGTGGGGGGGAGAGGGAGAGAGGGGGAGAGGCAAAGAGAAATGGGGGCAGGGAGAGAGAGAGAATCCCAAGCAGGCTTCACATTGTCAGCACACAGCCTGACACAGGGCTTGAGCCCACAAATCACTGGATCATGACCTGAGCTGAACCAAGAGTCAGATGCTTAACCGACTGAGCCACCCAGGCACCCCCTGATCTTGTCTTTATTTAAAAGGTTAGGGGGCACCTGGGTGGCTCAGTTGGTTAGGCATCTGACTTCAGCTCAGGTCATGATCTCGCGGTTTGTGAGTTCAAGCCCTGCATTGGGCTCTGTGCTGGCAGCTCAGAGCCTGGAGCCTGCTTCAGATTCTGTGTCTCCCTCTCTCTCTCTGCCCCTCCCATGCTCATGCTCTGTCTCTCAAGAATAAATAAACGTTAAAAAAATTTAAAGGTTAGTATTTTGTTCATCCTCATTTCATTTTAATTTTTTTGAATATTGCGTTAACATTGTCTGTCTTGATCACAGGGCATTTTGGTGCCCTCTTGAATTTTACAGCTAAGGCAGGGGGCCGCTGGCCTCACTTGTTTTACCGTAGTCACAGAGGTTTGGGTTTTCTTAGTCTCCTCTGGCAACAGAGTTTTTGCATAGGGAACCAGAGAAAGGTCTCCTCCTTCTCCTGCTCTTCGCCTCTTTCTGCCACTGGGGATTAAAGCAATCACGGTTCCACACCACCCCCACGTCCATTTCTGAGACGCGCTAGTTCAGCCATAGCAGCAATGTGGCATCCAGCCCAAAGCAAGATGCCAGGCAGCAGATGACAGACTTCACAGGCAGGCGGAAAAGGAAGGGGTGAGAATAACCACGCTGTTCAACAAGCAGCCAGCGCCATGGCAAAGCTAAGAGAAGTATGTGGATCAATGACACAGCACGTATGGACATTGTGTACAAGGTACAGAGACACCTGTTGCAGGGTCCGCTGCATATCACCCGCTAACGGTACTTACTAATTATAACAGCAATAATCATTAGCACAACAGTACCAAAACAGTGCCCACCGGAAAGGTGTTTACAGAACCGCTAAGGGCATAAACTACAAATAAAACAATTCCAAAAACCAAAAACCAGAGTTGCAAACAGAGAATGAGTAAGTCTTCTAATGCACAGACAATATGTGACAGGTACAGTCCGTAGACGGAAAAGCTCAATGAGTAACTGCTTCTACAGGCCCCCTCTAAAATGTCTTTGGACGGCCCAAGTAACATTCCTGTGATAGAAACCTGACCATGTCCCCCTTTCCAGCTTACAGTCCGTTAGTGGTTCCCTGCTGTTTTCAAGACAAAATTCAACCCGGTACTTTAGCACACAGGCCTTACTGGGCCCACCCCCTGCTGTCTGTCATTGGAACCCTCACACGCCGACCCCAGCCAAATCCAACTGTGGGTAAGGCGTGTACGGTCAGAAATCACTGAAGAGGGTCCATGTGTGCTTGCAAATTTATCCCCTGTACCACATTAGGTGACGAAGAGTAGGAGATTGAGGACAGAAGAGGACTACATGGTAACAATCATATAAGGCAATACAGTACGAACCGTAACAAAGTTAATTGTAAACATTCTTTATTTTTAATGTTTTGCTCAGACTTCTCAAATCTCCAACAAGACTCAAAAAAAAAAAAAAAAAAAAAAAAAAAAAAAAAAAAAAAAAAAAAAAAAAAAAACCCTGGCTCTAAACCATGCCTTAAAACACAAAGCCTCTTTCATGATTTTTAATAAATACTAGTTTGCAAATCTGCTTAAGAAGAAAAATTTAATATGTAAGTACTAACAGTGGTTTACGCACAGCTGCCCAATTCCAAAAAGAATCTAGAGGGATTCTGATACGATTCAAGCATTTAGTTAGGCTACCAGGGAAATTAAATATCTCAGAAAAGGGGGTCATAGAGTTGTCCACAGTTGGCCTCAAGGCCTCCAAGATGACCTTTGAGATTTTATATTCCCAATCTAAGTAATTTAGTAATTACATGTTCTGCTTTTTCCATATTAGCCTCTAGGTGGCAGCAAATTATCAACCTTAAAATTTAAAGGCGAGGTTTGGGGGCGCCTGGGTGGCTCAGTGGGTTAAAACTTCTGGCTTCTGCGCAGGTCACGATCTCACAGCTCGAGAGTTTGAGCCCCGTATCCAGCTCTGTGCTGACAGCTCAGAGCCTGGAGCCTGCTTCAGATTCTGTGTCTCCCTCTCTCTTGTCCCTCCCTTGCTTGTGCTCTGTCTCTCTCTCTCTCTCTCAAAAAAATAAATAAACATTAAAAAAAAAAAAAAAGTGAGGTTTGTTTTGGGATAATCAACTCAGCGGAGAAAAATGAAAAATGAAGAACATGGATATCAAAATCACTGGCAAAACAGGACAGTCATGACTCAGGAAAATTATTAATAAGCCACAACCACACCCCCATAGAATGCATTTCATTCTATGTATATCCAAATCTGAACTAAGTGGTCCAAATAGAAGTACAACACTTCTGTGATGTGCGGATTACCATTTACAGATGACAAAACCGAAGCTTACGGAGGTTAAGCAACTTGCCTGTGGTAACATACCTGAATACATGGAGTTGTGATTTTGAACCTAGAGGGTTTGATTTGAAAATATATGTTTAGGAGTGCGTGGGTGGCTCAGTTGTTTAAGCGTCTAATTTCGGCTCAGGTCATGAGCTCATGGTTTGTGGGTTTGAGCCCCGCTTCAGACTCTGTGCTGACAGCTCAGAGCCTGGAGCCTGCTTCAGATTCTGTGTCTCCCTCTCTCTCTGCCCCTCCTCCTATCCCTCCCCTGTTCATTCTCTCTCTCTCAAAAAAATAATTAAAAAAAAATTTTTAAGCATATGCTTAAAGTCACTGATGTCCAAAGTACACATGAAGAGTAGGGGCTGAAGATCTGACTTGTAAGATCTCTAGAAACAGCAATGATTAAGACTGTATGAAGGAAAAGAGTCTGGCAGACTAGATCAAAACCAATCTCTGGTTCCAAATGTAAGGTTTCTCCAAACCTGGCACCTCAGAAGTTTCTCTATAGATTTTCCAATTTCCCATATGTTAAGTAAGAGTGCAATATTTATTGTAGAGGCAGAGTCTGCCTTTGGGGAGAAAAAAAATAACTTCTCATTCACAACGCAAGTTGGGAAATGGCAAAATTTTAACATACAGGTTACTTAAAACTGTAATGCAAAAACATCTTATTTAATCATTCATTTTAATGTTCCTTCCTCAGAATCTGATGGAAAACTGTTTTTAAAAGATGGTAAAGAGGGACAAAATACGATTAATATTTATTGAGGTCTAATATACAACCAGGGAGATTCATGTTACCTCCTTTTTGAAAAAGCATCTTACAACCAACATGTGTTGAAAGGAGTACTTTTTATTCACACTACGAAACTGAGGCCCTCTGCGGTTACTAATTTGCCCAGAATCACAGGTGACATTAAAATGCAGGTTTTTCTGACTCTCAACTCTTGCTCCTTCGCCTACATTTATTTATTTATTTATTTATTTATTTATTTATTTATTTTTGAGAGAGAGAGAGAGCAAGCTGGGGAGAGGCAGAGAGAGAGGGAGACAGGAGATACGAGCAGGTTCTGCACTGTCAATGCAGAACCTGATGTGGGGCTCGAACTCACTAACCGTGAAATCATGACCTGAGCTGAAGTCAGATGCTTAATATCGACTGCATCACCCAGGCACCCCTCACCTACACTTTTTCTTAAGGAAATTCC